TTAACAAGTGCAATAAATTGACCATACGAATTCATGGTAGATTTTGAGAAGAACAGTAACAGCTTTCACTTCCCAAATTAAAGTAAGAGGGGTGAATTTTAACGAGAAAAATATTGATTATATATTTTCAGATTGCGGCATCTATCTAGCTGAAAAACGAATCACTGTGATCATACTTCAATTCTAGAAGGGATTAGCCTGCCGGAGGTAACAGACTATTGCGTGCCGCCACCGACTTTCGGCAAAGTGTGTAAGGTATAAATTCCTAGCACATAACAATGCACCCTATATTTTCCACGGATTCTATTCAATTCTGTACTGACGGATCCAAAATGGATAACGAATTTGGAAGGGGAGTGGGCTGGGAACAACTAAGTGCACCAAAGTCATTCTACCTACCGGACCACTGTAGCGTTTGTCAAGCGGAGTTTGCAGCCAAACAGGAGAAAGCAGTTCACTCTTCACCTGATATGGGTATCGGTACATAGCGGTGTACCAGGTAATAAGATAGCGGATGAGATTGTTAGGAGGGGGACTTCCGTTCCACCTTCGCCGTTATAGAAGAGGCTCGGCTCATATATGTACATGCATTCTTCTTCTCAGAAGCAGGCGAAAGATGAAAACATGCTACACGGCAAAGCTAATGTGGCCGGAATGGGATGAGAAAGGCTCGGGGGAGCTCTTTTGCTGAGCATAGGAAGCAGGCGAAAGATGTAACAGTTGGAAAGAGCTGGAAACATGCAACATGGCAAGACCAATGTGGCCGAAATGGGATGCGAAAATATCCTTAAGTTGAGCATAGGGGAAATCTATTTGGTTTGATGCCGCTTAACGACTTCTGCAGGAGCTGATGAGACGAGGAGCCTACGAAGGAGCAGACTAAAAGTAATGAGGGCGGGAACCATTGGAGAACGGCCATACTGGCCATAAAGTTAAGATGATTAGTAAAATTTGCCAACTCTACTCTCTGGTTTGTATAGGAGAGGGACTGATTAACGAGATCCCTTGTGGTATCAAAAGGGGCCCTATGGTGGACCTAAGTTTTCTAGTGTGTCTACCGGAGCCACTTCAACCAAACCTAAGATTTAAATTAAGCTGCTTTCGTAGAGACAAGAAAAAGTGCCGTGCCCAGCGGAGCTATTTCAAGCCGAGGGAAACTTCCTAGAGGTACTTTGGCGAATTCATGGAGGATTGGAGAGACTCGGCTAGGCTTAGTAGGATCTTTGCCAAAGGACACTTTTAGGAAATATTTAAAGAGGTAAAATAGTTTACGAACTGAGTTGGTTGGACAGTCGCTGGACTTCTCAGGTAGCAAGGTCGGCGAACTAGAGACCGTATTTTAAAAAATTGTTGTATGCAATTTGGTAAATTTTTACATACTCACATTCTCTGGTGTCATAAAATAGGACTTATTGAAGTAATAAGTTGATGTCACCTGAAATCATGCTCATGCTCATGCTAGATTGACGCGTCTTCCGAATAATTCTTGTGGGGTTTTAAGATTGACTTACAACTATGCAGAGGTGGTTAAAGAGGCTACCATTAATGAATAAACATTTTTAGTTTGGTACACGCATATAAACTGGTCTCCCTCCCATCTCACTGAGGCGGTATATTACTAGCGATGCTTCAGGAAGCTTCGAAGGTTGTCATTTCGAGTTAGGTAGCAACAGTCACGATAAATAGTTTTTCGTACTCAAGAGGTTAAAGAGACTCCTTAAATCTTTAAATAAAGGAGAAGTTAATAGAAACCGGGTATAACCGAACTTATGCAAATACATAGATTTCAGCGCCATCACTGGTTCTCTTTATATGAGCTCGGCCCGATCCTCTTTGCATATATGACAAAATTAGCCAATTGTATTAAACCTAGTAAAGTAGAATTAACCGAGCTTATCTCTCACATCGGGTGAAATATCTTCGAAGTTGAAGATTGGGTAGCATACAAGGCAGTGCTCGACGGTCCTATTTGCAAACCAAAGATTTGTAGGCAACAGACTGAGATGGAACCATGGATTGCACAGGATGTACACGGCTGTAGTACGACCCGAGCCTTCATATGGAGCGCTGTTCTGGTGGCAAATCAAAAATAAGGAGTTAAAAACGATCTTCCAAAATTGATTCATATAATTTGCCAAAAAATGCCGCTTACTTAATTTTATTAAAGGAAAAAAAAATTCGGCCTTCTGACCAACACTAAAATTACAAACATTATTGTTTGCATTGCTATAACGGTTTCACTATCCAGATTTATCCGAAAGCTATCAGGTAGCTAACAATTCGTAAATACCTAAAATAAACTAAGCAGGTTTTTCTATATTAAAAGAACAATGTGAACATTCAGCAGAACATTCAGATAAATTCTTAGCCCTACTTAGGAAAATGGTAAAATTTTTTAGATTTTTTTTATCACAAAAAAGAAAAAATTTTACTTTATTTCAAAATTAACCGCTATTTTAAAAAATGTATTGTACATTAGTACATTAGCCCCATAAAACTTAAGTATACGGATTTTTTCACAATACAAATTTTTTTTTTAATTCTTTTTTGTTTTCATATTCAACAATTTGTTATAAGGCCAAAAAATAGCAAAAACGATTTTTTTTGTTTTCGTATGACATTTTCATATGACATTTTGTCTAGTAGCGACAAAAAAAGCCAGTAAACAACGATAGTGTGCAGCCACTAAGCCTAAAGTACTTTGTTTTATTAAAATTGAATGGGCTACAAAACTGCATACCAGAAATTTTTTTAGAAAACGTTAATAACTAATACACATCTGCTCACTTGTATGCTTTGAAAAGCTTTCAAATTTTCAATAACATTTTGGGCCTTGGGTTTTTTTTTTGTTAAATAAACTAGCGCAAATAATCTAAATCACAGCTAGATGCAATATCCAAGCCCCTTTAATTTTTTACTAGCCTCAAATTAAAATTTGATTACAGTTTTCTAGATAATCCTAATGCAATGTTATATGCATCAATTGTGAAAAGATCTAATTGTTGATTCTCGCCTTTTTTTTATCCATTTACAGATCGAATCGGAACTAAAAAATCGACAAAAAAACCAATCGGAAGGGCTCGATTAATCAATCTTTGATTTAGTGGACTACAGACGCAGTGCTTTGAGGGCATGGGGAACTTAGAAGACGGATCAAAGATTGAATGCGGGGTAACACAATCACAAGCTATACTTTCGCCTGCCAGACCCCACATATGTGATCCAGGAGAAAGGTTAAGCCGCAATTGATGGAGGACTGTAGAAGAGAGTTGACTTCATTTTGCGATCAATGTAAAGTTACCTTACTATGCATAGTTTTCAGAGTAGACTTGGGAATAGATCAACAGATCACCGAAGTTACCTCTATGGGAAATTGGTATTATATCGTCGGTCCCTACGAAGAGTAGCACATTTCACTATTCGCGTGGAAGAGTAGCACATTTCGTTATTTGCGTGGAAGACTAGTACATTTCAGATTTTTGCGTGGAAGACTAGCACATTTCAGATTTTTGCGTGGAAGAGTAGCACATTTCGTTATTTGCGTGGAAGACTAGCACATTTCAGATTTTTGCGTGGAAGAGTAGCACATTTCGTTATTTGCCTGGAAGACTAGCACATTTCAGATTTTTGTGTGGAAGAGGGATACGCAAGGCAGTTCATATAAGGTTGTAGCAGCCGTTAAAAAAAAAAAGTTACATAAATATGTATGTTTATACTATAATTATTTTTCTTCGGTCATGCTGAAAGTATAGTGTTGTATATGGAGCCTTTTGGCCGGTTATTACAAGTAAAGTAAACGTTTATTTTTCCTCCTACACCTTTCGACATTCGCGTCTTTCTCAGGGAATCTTTATTTATAAATAAATACGAAAAAACATATACATACAGTATCATATCAAGAGGACCCCGTTTCAAAGTGATATTATTTATGTTATGTTTATTTATTTACTTAAAAAACCTTCAATTAAAATAAAGTTAATTCTCTTAAAAAAATCCATATTGGCCCAAGTTTAAAGCCCAGGAGAATACTAAAAAACTCAACAAATTTTCAACAACGCAAACGCAAATGAAATATTTTCCTTCGAAGAACTGTCCAAATATTTACATTGGCAAAAAATTAAGATATCACATGTACGGAAAATTACAATAAAAAATAGCAAAAATCAAGTAGACATAGCAGTAAAATACGACTTTATGCAAAGCGAGGAGAAGTTGAACCTAATGAAAAAAAATGTTCAATGGTCAACCATGAAACACTGTGAATTGCCTAAAGCTTACAAGGGAAAAATACCTTTAAAAAAAAGAAAAGTGGATGATATTCAACAAATGATTAGTAAACGGTATATACCGTCTGAATTTCATGATTTTCATAATACAATTAAAGAAATATAGAATAAACGTTTGAATTTTCAATATATATTATGCTTCTATGATTTACTTTAAACCGGAGACGTGCAGTTTTCGCGGCTTAACAATCTGAAATATGCTACTCTTCCAAGCGAAAATCTGAAATGTGCTAGTCTTCCACGCAAAAATCTGAAATGTGCTAGTCTTC